TGAGGTGTATGCATGCTGAGGTGTGTACATGCTGAGGTGTATGCATGTTGAGGTGTGTACATGCTGAGGTGTATGCATGCTGAGGTGTATGTATGCTGAGGTGTGTGTACATGCTGAGGTGTGTGCATGCTGAGGTGTGTACATGCTGTGGTGTATGCATAAATTAAGTGTAACACAAAATAATTAAAACATTACAAATCAGCTCCCCCTTCTGTCATTTTGTGAAAGTTTCTGTGTGTTTGGTTTTTGTGAGACAAGATCTCATTGTGTAGCCTTGGCTGGCTTGGAACTTGCTTTGTAGACCAGGCTGGCCTTGAACTTCATAGGATCCTGCCTCTGCCTCTGGAGTGCTGGGACTAAGGGTCTATAACATCATGTCTGGCTTTCCCTGTCCCTCTGTAAGTAACTGTACTGAAAAGAATGAAGATATTCTTTTTTTTTTTTTTAAAAGACGGGGTCTTATTTAGCCCACGCGGACTTTCAACTCCTTATGTGACTGGGGATGGCCTTAAATTATCAATCCTCCTGTCTCCACCTCTTAAGTTCAGGAATTACGGATGTGCACCACCATGCACATTTGTTTTAAGTACTGGGCTGCCTTCATGCATACAAGGGCAGGCACTCTACCAACTGAGCCTCACCCTGAGCCCAGGGATGAAGGGGCACTTGTGGCTTTCCCTCGGGCTTCCACACTGTAAAACAATAGAGCCTAAGAAATTCCTCAGGAATCTCATGCTGAGGGAGAAAAAGGCAGGAGTTCCCATGGTCGCCAGGGGAAGACTAGCAGGAGACAAGGACAGATGGTCAGTGGTGGCTGAGACCACACCTTCACCAGGTTTGCTCAGCAACACAATCCTTGCCCTCCCCTTAAACCTAAACCTTATGTCACAGCCTTGTCAGCATCCTAAAGCTAGCCTTAGAGAGTCACTGGCTCTGACTGTTCCTCTTTTTTTGTTTGTTTGTTTGGTTTTTCGAGACAGGATTTCTCTGTGTAGCCCTGGCTGTCCTGGAACTCACTCTGTAGACCAGACTAGCCTCGAACTCTCAAACTCAGAAATCCGCCTGTCTCTGCCTCCCAAGTGCTGGGATTAAAGGCGTGCGCCACCACCGCCCAGCTTGACTATTTTTAAAAATTTCTTTTATTCCATTATTTTGAAGTGCGTGTGCGTGTGTGTGCGTGTGTGTGTGTGTGTATGAGTGTTGAGGTCAGAGGCATTGGATCCCTCTAGAGCTGGAATTACAGGTGTTTATGAGCCGTCAGATACGGGTGCTGGAATTAAACTTAGGCTAAGTGTATCGCATGCTCCTAACCACTGAGCCATCTTACCAGCCTCTGCTTCTCATCATTACCTGTGTGTTTAATTGGCTCACCCACGATGGGTAGGATGGGTGGTTGAGCCTAGTTTGTTAGGGCTGCCAGCTCCCAGGCTTTGACTTTAACAGCTCCAGGAATATATTCTTAATGCCCTGTCCCACCCTGAACCCAGGGATCCGCTAAACTAGTGGTCCTCCACCATCCTAATGCTGAGACCCTTAATTCAGTTCCTCATGTTGTGGTGACCGCCCCAAGACCTTTAAATTATTTTCTTTGCTACATTGTAACTGTAGTTTTGGTAATGTAAACATCTGATATGCAGGATATCTGATATGTAGCCCCTGCGGAAGGGCCATTCACCCTCAGAGGGGTCTTGACCCACAGGTTGAGAACCAATGTTTACAGCTTCTTGTAGCCAAGTCTCCCTTGATTACACACTATTGCTGGCTCCCAGCTGTGAGACACAGTCCTGTCTGCTGGACACCTCGGCTCCCTGCTCATGCCTGCTGGCATACTGCCTCCTCCAAAAGTCCCCTACATGCCTGCCTCCCCTTCACAGAGATGCCTCTTTAAATCCCTACAGGCATGGGGTGTCTTTTCTTCTAGGAAGCTACGTGCCAGCCCCTGGTACTTCAATTCTGCCTGAGATGTCAAAGCAAAAGCTTTCAGTGGGCTCCGCCTGAACTCAATTCACCTCTCTACCTGTTGGGCCTCGCTGTTGGGAGTGATTTCTGACTACCTGGTTGCAATTCCATTTATGGCCGCGAGGGGGCAAGCGGCGACAGCTGGGAAACCAGGCCTTTGGTGGAGACAAGGGAGAAGGGATTAAGTCAACCCCGCCCAGCCTTCAGGGAAACCGACTTCATGAAATGGCAGCAAGAAGCGAGCAAGGCTACTGCTGAGAGGCAAGGCGGCAAGCACCAGCCCAGTCCACTCACCAAGCGGATATGACCAGCACGAGGAAGACCGCAAGCAGGATGGCCAGTAGGATTGACAAGAAGGCAATGATGACCACAGTACCTTTGCTCTGGGACCCTGGAGCTCCTCGGAATGTCTGGGCTGTGCAGGCAAGCAAGAACGAAGTTATTGAACCCAAAAGGGGTCTTTGGGCAGCTTCCTGCGCTCAAGCTGGGGACATGCGTGAATCACGGAGGGGCAGACTAGGGCAAGGATACTTGGAAAGAGCAGGGTGGTGTTGCGCTTCCTGATAGGGGGAGACCTACTTTCCCCAGCCCCGTGATGTGCCCAGGTCCCTTAGTGCCCACCCCCCACCCTCCACTATTTTTGACCTCTTATGTCCTCCTACCTTGCTGCAGGTAGATCTCCTGGGACCACATTGTCTCAGCCACGGGGCCCTTGGCATTCATTGCCAGGAACTTCACTCTGAGCAGGAGACCAGCATTGGTGGCAGGGACACCCCATCGTTCAGAAACCCTCAGACTTTGGTGCCTGGGAGCCTGTCCTCTGTGACCTATTCCAGCTGTGTGACTCACTTTCATTGAGCCTGTGTGTGTGTGTGTGTGTGTGTGTGTGTGTGTTAGATCACTCAGTACAAACATCTAATAAGGGAAGGTGGGACCAAGGCTAGTCTCCACCTGTGAACACCTGGTCTGGAGTAGGGACAATCCGTTTGTGTAGTCAGGACCTCCCATGGCATATGGCATTGAGCTGGGGGAGTGTTAACTTTAAAAAGAAACTTAAAAAAAAAAAACTCTGGTTCCTGGGGACCAGACACGTGTGGGTTCTAGAACCATCATCCATGTGAACAAAGCCACACACAGACACACAAGCATAGTTAAAAATAAAATAAAGTGCTCTCTCTCTCTCTCTCTCTCTCTCTCTCTCTCTCTCGCTCTCTCTCTCTCTCTCAGAAAGAAAGAGGGCTCCGTGTTTAAGAGCACTTGGAGTAGTTGCAAAAGATCCAAGTTCGATTCCCAGCATTCACATGGAGGCTCCCCACCTCCTGTGATGATGGGCACCAGGCACACATGTGGTGCACCGACATACATGTAGGCAATATACCCATACACCTAAAATAATATAAATCACTATGGAAAAAAGAACTATGTAAGGACCTGCCCACAGTCCCTCAGTGAGAGGCTGAGGTATACTAGAGTACTAGCTGGACTTTCCAGGGCCCAGATTCTACCCCTAGCACCACAAACATAAATAAGGAAGGG